GATGTCAAAATTGTAGCTCAATCTTCGATAATATCACTATTATTTCCATTTTTTTAAATGATAAAGTAGTGTTCGAAATATGATAATAGACAATAAGGCCCTTCTTTCATCATTTTTGCACGAAAAATGCTTGATTGTGGCTGTCGTCTTGTGTTCGAGAAATCTTCTGCTCAACTTTGGCCAATCATGGTTCTTCTTAGCTGGACAGACTGTATACTAAACTTCGCGACATCTACAAGAGCATGACCAAATGTTGATCTCTGTGGTCTGATTCGGCTGAATAGTGAACGTTTCGGTATCAGAGTGTAGACGTAGGTTTGGAAGCGGATGTGGGTGTTGTGTAGGCTTTTCAATTAACAACACCAACACTCCATATCCACACTTACGTACATATTGCACTTCAGGGAGCATGAAAGAATATTGTTTTCTGGCAGGCTTGAACTTCACGTACCCTCACTACATTCTCTATGATCTTAGAGTACAAAGAACGTCATTTCTTCTGTTTGAATGAATGCCATTCATTTTTTTGAAGATACAGAAGCAGACATCAGCAGGTATTACAATGGTCTCGATGAAAATCCATTCAAATTTGTCAAGTTCCTCGAATATATCGACGAACCATCACTATTGACTCAGGAAGATCAAAACAAGTTTGCAGTACTTTTTGAAATCTATTGCAAAAAACTAGCAGGAATTCTACCCAGTGCTCCTTGGCAACCACCACCCCAGTCATCAATCACTTCTCAATGGCACGACTTAAACTTGACACATAATTCACGAAATCATCGCAAAACTGGTCGTCAACGTAAAAATAATAGCAAGTAGCTGTTAAGAATCGTTTTATAATACTTCATTACTGTAATTATAGATACTATAGCCGCTAAACAAGGAAAATTTTCTCGATATGATGCAAATAGAAATATGGTGTCTCGGGTAAGAAGTTAATTGAAACGGCTTGCTCGGCAAAGTGCAACAATCGATTTATTGTTTCTCAGTTACATTGTTGCTATAGAATATACTCCTTGTAGTTCTTCACTATGCATTCGTTATAATTTCATTCAGTCACTCGTTTACTGCACTTGAGCATATTATTGAGTTGGAAAAAAGCTTTTTTGTGATCTGGGTGTGGGTTCTCCATTTAGCCACATCCACACCCACATCCATACCCTACCTACACCTACATCCACATCCCGCATCCATACCCACACCCATCGTAGGTTGCTGCAGATAGCGCCTTTGAATTATGCAACTCACTACAACGGATCTATTAATTCTCAAAAAGTAGCACTTGATATTCAAGTCTGACAAATTAGAAAAAGTTATTAGAGAATTCATCTATGAAAACGTTATCAACTCTCAAATTTCTGATGCTGCTGAATAAAAGTAGCAATTGATGCACGTTGCAAAAAAAGAATCAAGCTGATGTCAACAGTTATTTTTCGTACAACACATGAGAGCCTCCGAAAAATAATGAAATTTTTCTTTTGCAGTTATTGATCACTTCTTTTAGCAATCATGCTAGGTGATCTCGAATAGACTACATCATTTGATGTTTGACTTTAGTTTCTAGAGAACGAAATGAGTCTCAAGAAATAATATGGATTTTGAGGTAATAAGGTAAACTGTCAACGAAGGTTTTTGTATTCTGATGTTATTCAAATAGTTGAGGATAAATCTGGAATTACAGACACAGGATGTATTACTCAAATAATTCTGATAGCGGAAATCCAATCAGAATAGAGCACCTGAGCGCTTGAAGTACACTAAAGAAAAATTTTATTTATTTTCTCCATTATGCCAACTATCGACGTGGCGGAACTCTTCCGAATATTTTGAAAATTCAACAAACTTTCAAGAAACTAATATAATGTATCGGTCAGAATCTTCTTAAACCTTTCAACTTTTTATCAAATCTAATGGCTTTTCTCAAATGAAATGATGTTTTTTTCTTCAATTTCTACAATAGAACATGCAGAGTGATTATTATGGTGATGAATATTATTCTACAACACTTTCTGTTTAGGTATCAGACTCATGGGGAACTTCGCAACGTACATCAAACGATCGTCTATATTACGAATCATCGTACTATAAGGATAATTTTTCCGAACATCAATCTCGACGAGGGAAAAATAAGCAGCAGCATTGGATCGATGAAAATAATTGAAAAATTCCTAGAAAACAATTATTTGAACGATCGTTAAAAAATTTCAAATTTCTATCCCTGTTTTTCCTAAAATTGTAAAATTTGCCACTGCATGAGACATTTTCTTGTATCATAAATAAATATAAACAAATATTTAGTTTATAAGAACTCTTCCTATGCTGAGGATCAATCGTAAGAAGCTATGCGTCAGGCAGATTATGGATTATAATTACATAGTCGCAAAAGGTAAACAGTTAATCAGTAAACAAACTCACACACGATTTTGATTACTTCAATTTCTTAATAAATTGATGTATTTTCGTTGTATTGAAATTCATACAGGGTACGAAACTATCAGGGTGTGAGTGCAGACAAATAAAAGATCCAAATCTACATTCACACCCATACCTACATCCATACTGACACCCACACCCATGATAAACTGGTAATCCCAACCTTCATCGAGAAGAAAAATGTTGAAAAAATAATGAGAGAAATGTCGAATGAAAAAATGTTGAAATAGACGACTGTTGACAGTGAATATGTCGAAGTGAGAATGACAGCAGACACCGATACTTTCTTTCGAGATTTTTATCTTTGACATACTGACTTTATTGGTCAGGAGAATCGATTGACTTCATCGATATATGTTCAATATGCCCATCACATTCAATTAGAACAATAGCGACTGACGATCATCTTGATTACTCAGGTATGAGACAAGTTTGTTTTTACACTCACTATACTCTGAAGCTATATTTCTGACAGATATGAGGCCATCAAGTTATCCCAGGCGTGTTCTATCCATGGATGGTGCAGAATTCTTCATACTCACAGGAAAATCTATTTGTGTTGAACAGAATTGAGACGATTCTAAGTACCATGGGAAGAAAGATGTGTGTATGATATCAAGAAATACGTTCTGTATACGATATCTGTTTTACTCCGTATACTTCATTCTTTGTAGTCTCCTACACGAATCGTACACAAACTTATTTCACTATCGGCTTTTTATCATGTAAACGATCATGTTTCTTCAATTCAGTGAACAAACTTTCAGAATAAAAGGTTATTGCTGATAAAAGCCTAGGTGAAAAAATCAGACATAAGATCTTGTGGATCAGACGAAGTCGTACGAAAAATCGCAGTCTCAGAAATCTTACAGCATATCGTGTACTATAAAGTTCTTGAAAGATCTTACCGCCACATAAAATTTCCTATAATCTTATAATGATATCTTACAGGAAAGCAAGATCTTTCAAGAATCTTACAGTACACGATATGATGTAAGATTTCTGTGACTGCGAGTTTTTGTGCGATTTCAGTCTGATCTTACAAGATTACAGGTACGATCATGTAAGATCTTACTATATGATTGCTTGCCCTGAGTCTGTGCAGGAATCGAACTTACGATCTTCTGTGTGTAAGACAGAAGTTGATCTTCTGAGCAATGATCATTGTCGATATTTTAATAATACAACCGAACTCCACATGATCGTTCGCATATTAAATTTATACCTTTTATCATGATCTTGAGTTGCAATTAGCAAGAGAAAAGTTTCAAATTCTGAATTCTGAATTGATTCACTCAAGTGATCTAAGAAAATCTTAACTTCTTGATATAACAACGCAAAAAAAAATCGCTTTCATCATTCATATTTCTTGATCAATTTGAGAAAGAATATTTTGAGATTGCAATCCTTATAATGAATCATTCGTACTTTGCATCCAATGCCAAAAGACGTTTGCACCATGCAAGACAGGTCGGATATTAAAAAGAAGGCTGTACACTATTTGTTCAGTACTTAATTGAGACTATCCATCAAAATATGATGAACACGAAAAATTAAGGAAATAAGTATAATTTAACATGATCAATTACGAAATTAAAGTACATCTATGAAATTCTTGTGACCATACAAATATACGTAAGTCGATTGAAAAATGATCACATTTCATAGAATTGATGCTGCAAGTATGTACAGAAGCAGTAGAGCGAAGTAGCTACCAAATGTAAGACGGCCTAAAATACATCAAGATCAAATTTTCTTTAGATCTTTCGCTCTTCATATTCTCTTTTGTTAATAAAAAAAAACGTCAATCTTGGTCAAGAGAAATGGTGAATCTCGAATTAGGATTGGAACCTACACCAGTCGTTAATGATGAACCCTAGAAAAAGTGTGTGTATATCAAACTTTATTGTCAATTATCAAGTTTAATCATAGAAAGAAAAAAATTATTCATGAATAAAAAAAACGAACATATTAATGAAAAGTAATCTTGAAAGAAAATTTACAAATAATGAATTCTATGTAAAGAAAGATAGTTCATTATTTTTCATGGAGAAATACTGCAGAGTACATGCTTAGATCGATATAACTACTAGACTTCTCAATCGAGCCATATGAGTGGAAAACAAAATAAAGAGAAAAAAAATACTACCAAAAAATTACAATTGATGTTTGATGTCATTGATTAGCCTTTCAAACTTTTCTGTATCACCCAACAATTCTGTTAAACGTTGTCTTTCTTTATTTGCTATGAATAACCACATTGTTTTAAAGGCGTTGTATTTCATTTCCAAGATAATAATGACAATGGCAGTTGTTAGAATAGTCGAACCGTTACTGAGAATCGAATGAAAAGATGTTAGTGGCTTCTGACAAAGATTTTGAATATCATCATTGCTTAAATTCAAAAGTTCATCAAATTTTTGTAAATTGATTAAATGACGAACAATATTCTGATCATTGGATGGCCATGTTTTCTGTTCAGTTATTGTAGATGAAAATAAAGAACTTGTTCCACCACTGTTTATAGTACCAAAAGAGAATCTAACGCAATCGTCATTTCTTCATGAACTGTCAGATGAACTAAAACCAAATAATGGTACTTGTTGCGAAAATGCAACAGGTGATTGAGATCTGGAAGATGCACCAAAAACAAATGTTGGTGGTAATGATTGCGCAGTTGAGAAAGATGATTGAGAATTTTGTTGTTGATCACTAAAAAATGACTCAAATACATCAAATGCTGATGTCAGCTTTGATGATGGCGTACTCAAACTAAACAGCATTGGTGAAGGGCAATTAGACATTATTCAGCTACTTAAGTTTGAATTAGACGAAGAACCGAACACACCGGATCTGAATGGTAATCCGGTCATGACTTTATCATCCGATGATATTTCAATTGAAATTTCCCTTAACACCAATGTTAGAGTTGGTATTTTTGGCTGATCGATCTGTACGCGTTTCAATACCAATAAAAACTGTGTGTGGATAGAGAATATTATACTTAAATGAAATAGTGATTGTTCGTGTTTTTCTACCATCTTCTATACTCTATCACAATCTGGTTTGTTGAGATCCTGCTTGTGGTTCTTTCAAATGTGTAATTTCTTGAATCAGAGCCTTAGCTGCCAAATGAGCTATTAATTGATTATTGTTATCTGTAATCTCTGGTAGACGATCGATTCTAGCTAGTCCGAGTTGAACTGTTTCTTCATGATTCCAGAGTTCGACAGTTGTGAAATGATCGAATTGATCACTTTCGATCAATGTATAAAACAAAAGACGATCATTGGCATAAACATGTGGAACAATTGTTGGAATAGTTTGAAGTTTGGACGATATTAATGATGGAATATTCCATTTAACTTTGACATTGGTAATACATGGCTCGAGAGCTTTCTGAAGTTGTTCAGCAACATGAATATCAACACTTGTTCCTGGAGGAATAAATGTAAATCGACCGTTCGTCAAATGAGCAAGACCTTTAATCAATGATCGACTTGGTGAATGACCAAGACCGAACGAAAAGATTTTTGATGATGTGTTGACATTGATCGCCAAAGATTCATTATTTGAGTAGCATTGGATATTTCTCCATTAGTTAATAACAATATTTGTCGAGAATAGTCAGTAATGGGTGCCTGATTTTGTAACCACTGTAATGGTCTCAATAGTTCAATTCCACCAAGGTCAGCTGCCATTTATGAAATCAATTGTTCAGCTTGCCTTGCATTTTGTTCATTATATTTTTCAATCACATTATTAACAATGTTTTATAATTAGATCCAAATCGTATACTATTAAATTGATAGTTGCCTGGCAAACTCTTAAGAAATAAAACCATTGCTTGACGAGCAAGACCAATTTTGTTTCCATCTTGCATCGAACTACTACAGTCGACAATAAAAATAAATTCATTGTTTACATCATTGATATTTTTGTTAGTATCAAATGCTTTCCTACAATCTTCATTTGTAGGTATAAAAGATGCCATTAAAGCTAATTGATGTTCACCATTGTTTTCAACAGCTAAAATTGTATTTGTTCGAGTTGATAGTTCAATATCTAGAATAATGTCTCGATCCATAAATGTATTCTTTTGATCAAATGTTATCGAATATGTGT